AAGGCCACTGGCTCTCCTGTGGCTATCACACCTAGAGCGAAATAAAACAGAATCACTTCTAAAATAAAGATCAAGAGCTGCAATTGTGTTAGATAATATTTTATGACTTGTGCAACGGCGTAGGAGGAGGAAGGTGTGCTGGATATGTTTGCTGCCTTGAGTTATTTGTAAAAATAATGCAGGGCGTCCTTGACTGACAAGAGTTCATTTAGTGACTGTCTTGAAGTTACAACGCCACTGAAGAAATGATAATTACCTAACTTGTTGGGTTGGCAATATATAAACCCTCAATATAGCTTTAAGACTGTATTGCTGTATTGCATCATACTGTGTCCTGATTGGTTAGCTCTGTAGCCAATGTCCTTAAGAGAGAGCTTGAAACATGGTTTGTTTCTCTTTTCTGACCATTATTTCTCTTTGCTGAACTTTACTGCTCTTTGCTGTGTTTGCTACTGTTTGCAACTGTTTATTGTGTATGACTACGACGACTGGTAAGAAGACTTTGTTATTGGATTATCCCTGGACTATTGTTCTACTATCTACTGCTTTATCTGTGTATGACCTGGACTGTTTATTGGACTGTGCCTTATTACTATTTCCTAAAAAAGTAAACACAGCTCAGTGTATCTGTGTGTTGGCTGTGTTTATTCGTAACTGCTCTCAATCGTTTTCATGTGCACACCCTTGCTACTCAAGGGTTGCTCTGCGAATTCCTTAACAAAGAGACTTGTGATGATTTTTCACGCTTATGACCATTGCAGCATCCCCCATGGTCACATGATCAAAATTCAGACTCTTGGCAACCGGCTCATATTTATGAGGTGGTCATGTGATCATATGATCCCCTTTGTCGACCTTCTGACAAGCAAAGTCAATGGGGAAGCCAGATTCACTCAACAACCATGTTGCTAACTTAACAGCTGCAGGGATTCACTTAACTATTGCAGTAAGGAAGGTTGTCCAATGGGGCAAAACTCATCCAGCAGATGTCTCACTTAGCAACAGTGATTCCGGGCTCAATTGTGGTCGTAAGTCAAGGAACCTGAATTAAAGAGAACACCTTGTCTTGATAGCAATTTTCACTATCTCTTTAGTCAACATGACCATTTCCTTCAAACCTGAATCCAAGAGGTCCTTAAATGACGCTATTACTCAGTGATTACTAAACCGGGGCCTATTTTTATGCATTTCTGTGGTGCATAGTGTAGTGGTTAGAATGCAGGATTGCAGGCTGACTCTGCCCACAGCCAGGAGTTCGATTCTCACCGGCTCAAGGTTGACTCAGCCTTCCATCTTTCAGAGGTGAGTAAAATGAGGTAGGGGGGACAATAGGCTGACTCTGTAAACCGCTTAGAGAGGGCTGTAAAACACTGTGAAGCGCTATATCAGTCTAAGTGCTATTGCCAAATAGTCAAACTATTTACTATTACTATTCTTCTTATCCTTCCTATTACCTATCTCCTTTTCTACTTATGACTATAACTTTGTTGCTTGTATCTTTATGGTTTATGTTGTTTTATTGGACTATCACTAAGTGTTGTATCTTATGATTTATGATGAATGTATTTATGATGACTATGATCATGATTTATCACACATATCTTTTATGTACACTAAGAGCTTATGCACCGAAGACAAATTCCTTGTGTGTCCAATTACACTCGGCCAATAAAGAATTCTATTCTATTCTATTCTATTCTATTCTATTCTATTCTATTCTATTCTATTCTATTCTATTCTATTCTATTCTATTCTATTCTATTCCATTCCATTCCATTCCATTCCATTCCATTCCATTTGAATAATTCTGTTCTGTTCTGTTCTGTTCTGTTCCGTTCCGTTCCGTTCCGTTCCCTTCCCATTCCCATTCCCATTCCCACTTCTACTTCTACTTCTACTTCTACTTCTACTTCTACTTCTACTTCTATTTCTATTTCTATTCTTTCAGGTCCCATCAGTGTATCTCCTCAAACTGCACCCAAGAGACATAGCTGTACAGCTGGTTTTCTATTTTTTTTTTCCTTGCCTGGATGCTATTAGAAGCATCAACTCCTTGAGGCACTGATGTTCAAAAAAAGACACCACCTTCTGTCTGTTACTGCTGAGCTCAGAGCTATCTCAAAAATGCTGTCAACTTTCCCCACCAGAATAAATTGTTAGAAAAACATGTGCGGCTGTTAAATATTCAAACTGTTCCCTCCGTTCCTTTGATCTGTAGCTCCTCTGCTTTTTCAGCTTCGTCGGTTATGCAGATTTCCAGATAATGTGTCTATAGTAATGGGCATAGAATCAGTGTCCAATGGCATTTCAGCTCCCCTTGTTTTGTTATGCTACGCTTCCTGTCCCAGGAATTATAACTGATAGAGGTATAACCCACAGGCATTTGCAGACAAAGCCTAACCCTAAACTTCACAGGTTCAAGAAATGAGAAAGTAAAGGAGTGGAAGTTAACAGAGACAAATATAATGTTCCTTGCTTAGAAAACTGAATGTGTGCTGGCAGCTTGATGTGGCTACAAAAATAATAATAATAAAATACAGGTAGTCCTTGAGTTACGACCACAATTGAGCCCAACATTTATGGTATGTTGCTAAGTGAAACATTGGTTAAGCGAGTTTGCCCCAGTTTACGACTTTTCTTGCCACCCTTGGGAAGTGAATCACTGCAGTTGTTAAGTTAGTACGATGGTTGTTAAGTGAATCTGGATTTCCCAAGGTCACAAAAGCTAATCACATGACTCCTAGGACACTGCAACCGTCATAAATAGGAAGCATCTGAATTTTGATCATGTGACCATGGAGGATGCTGTGACGGCCGTGTGAAAAACGGTCATAAATCACTTTTCCAGTGCCGTTGTAACTTTGAACAGTCACTAAATGAACTGTTGAACGACTACCTGTACTCATAGAACTTGTAGAATAAGAGGTGGAAGGGGCCTTGGAGGTCATCTAGTCCTACTCCTGCTCAAACAGGAGACACAATACTTGAGATGGTGAACCTATGGCACATGTGCTAGAAGTGGCACACAGAGCCATCTCTCTGGGCACGCCAGCCATCATCTGTTACTCTTCCGGATTCCGGCCCAGGTTGGTCTTCGCGCATGCGGGAACACCGGAAATCGGAGGAGCAGCTCCCTGGCGCATGTGTGCGGGCTGGGAAGGTGAGCTTCTGGTTTCCGGCACGTGCATGCGCACTAGCCAACTGGTCTTCACGCATGCATGCATGCCAGAAACTGGAAGACCAGGTAGCTGGCAGGCATATGCATTCTGGAAACTGGAAGCTCAGCTTCCAGGCACGTGCATGTGCGCCAAGGAGCTGCTCTTCCGGTTTCTGGTGCTCCTCTGTGCATGCGCACACTCCCGTTTCAGCACTTGGTGTCGAAAAGGTTCACCAACAATGCCCTATACCATTCCAGACAAATGGTTATTCAACCTCTTCTTAAAAACTTCCAGGGTTGGAGCATTCATAACTTCTGGAGGCAAGTTGTTCCACTGGTTAATTGTTCTCACTGTCAGGAAATTCCTCCTTAGTTCTAAGTTGCTTCTCTCCTTGATTAGTTTCCACCCATTGCTTCTTGTTCTACCCTCAGGTGCTTTGGAGAATAGCTTGACTCCCTCTTCTTTGTGGCAGCCCCTGAGATATTGGAACACTGCTATCATGTCTCCCCTAGTCCTTCTTTTCATAAGACTAGACATACCCATATCTTATGAACCTTTTTGTAGCTTTCTTTTATGAACTGAAGGAGATATAAACAAGCAAACTTCACCGGCAAACTTCTCATATATTAGAATATAAACTGATGGAGAACTCTAGCTAAAATCACAGAAAGAGAAACTAATATTTGAAAAAAAAGATGTAAGGTCCATGTTGGTGTTTCAAAACTACTTTAAGAGAGGAGATTTAGAAGAAGATAGAGGAGAGAAACGTTTTTAATAATCACATTATGTTCGTCTTGTTACAATCTTGAGCCTCTCTGGAATTACACAAGGGCGACTTTGCTTTATAAATAAGATGCTAAAAGCCAAGAGAAACGACTGTATACTAAAACTCTCCCATAGCTGTTGAAAGAAAGATATTAGAGAAAACAACAGACTTTTAACATAGCAAAAACAACAACAACCCAGATGTTATTTGAAACTGAGCTGTCTAACTGTGTCTTGCAAGGTACGTGCATAATTAATTTGAGGGGAAAATTCTCTTAAATATTTTTCTTAACAATATATACATTTCTGGTTGGCATTGTAGGAAGTTAGCACCCACCCCTCTCCTAGAAGAATGAAATATTCTAGGAAATATTAAAAAGGCAGAATAAGAAGGCAGTGTCTTCTTGAAAGCCTCCAGTGAGAGGGACCAAAACTTCTGGAGGCAAATCATTCCACTGATTAATTGTTTCTAACTGTCAGGAAATTTCTCTTTAGTTCTAGGTTACTTCTCTGCTTGATTAGTTTCCATCCGTTGCTTCTTGTCTTTCTTTCTGATGCTTTGGAAAATAGTCTCCTCCCCCTTCCACAGTTCTTCAGGATTGAAGAAGCTTCAAGATTTTTATTTTTTTTTTAAGGAAAAAAAACAAGAAAGTCTGGTTGCCTTTTGGAAAAGCACTTTTGGGACATTCAGCAACAAGCAGCCTCAGATCAAAAATCGGGTTACTTTCACAGGGGGATGGCAGGGGATGTCACAAAGGAAACTCCGTGTGGTCCACCTGAAAAGGTGGCCCTTAAGCAGTGGTGAAATCCAAATTTATTTACTACTGGTTCTGTCGGCATGGCTTGTTGGGCGTGGTGTGGCTTGGTGGGCATGGCAGGGGAAGGAGATTGCAAAATCTCCATTCCCACCCCACTCTTGGGCCAGCCAGACGTGGTATTTGCTGGTTCTCCGAACTGCTCAAAATTTCCGCTACCGGTTCTCCAGAACCTGTCAGAACCTGCTGGATTTCTCCTCTGCCCTTAAGTAAGGTCTAATCACTGTATCTTCTTACCCTCTCCATTTCTCCTTAATTACAGGCTTTGCAAGCCCAAGTACTGGAATATCCAATTTGTCACAGAGTAGTCTACACAATGCGCTACACATTTACATGAATGGCTCCATGTCTCAGGTCCAGGGTTCAGCCAATGATCCCATCTTCATCCTGCACCACGCCTTTGTTGACAGGTAAGTTGGATACTTCCTGGTAAATATTATATCTTCCATGATAATAGAGATCACAATAATTGGATATATTGCATATGGATTACAAGAGAGACTTTGCAGAGATTCTAGGATCTAGACGTTGGTTTGTTTTATGCCTATTTAAGAATTTTGAGTTTATTATGGCTGTCCCATAGATAATATGCTAATAAGAATGCTGGATGAAGACCATACTATGTTCTAGGGGTATGTGTCTAGAATGGAATGGAATGGAATGGAATGGAATGGAATAGAATAGAATAGAATAGAATAGAATAGAATAGAATAGAATAGAATAGAATAGAATAGAATAGAATAGAATAGAATAGAATAGAATAGGGAGGAGGAAGAGGAAGAGGAAGAGGAGTGGAACAGAACAGAACAGAACAGAACAGTTCTTTATTGGCCAAGTATGATTTGACATATGAGGAATTTGCTCTCATACAAACAGCAAAGCGATAAATCATAAATCACAAGATATAATCATAATTAACCAAATTTCAATTTCAAAATTTCAAATCTTTATTGTCAGTGCACAACATACATACAATGAGATTGGTGGAGCTCTCTCAGTGCACCCCTCCAACACAAAACAACTCACAGTGAAGATAGAAAATCCCTAACCCAATAAATCATATTAACAAACCCCCCAGTCCTATTGCACTAGTGTGAATATGTTACACATTGCTCTGGCCCTGCAAGTCCATCGTATTACGTAGTTGTGATGTTATTTCGCTTTCAGGAGTCTGACAGCCCATGGATAAAAACTGTTCTTCAACCTGTTTGTGCGGCTGGCTATGCTTCTATGTAGGAAGATATATCCTTCTGGGTTCTGCTCCAAGTGGGGAAAAAGACACTGGAAACATGGAGACTGCTTGGAAAGATGGTTTAATGGTGGACAGGATCGCATGGCTTGAGTTCCTGAACAGAAAAGAGGCAGATATAGCGAGTTTTCAGGTTTTATGCTCTCTCTGGCTTTGAACTTCCTGGAGCCCAGAAAGAGTATCCTGATTGGTTGTCAGACTTCCAGGTGCTGTGATTTAGCCATGACAAAGCTATGTAATTGTGTTTACTAGGTTCTCGGGAAGAAAGCATAATATGCGGTTAACTTGAAATTAACAGATGGCAGATTAAACCTGTCTTTTCTCGGGTCAAGGTCATTCTATGTAGGAAATAAGGTTACGAATAGGAGCATAGGTGTTATTTAGTATAAACGTGGGTTCTGTGTGTGTGTGGTAGGGTGGCGGAGATCCGAAAAATCATTCCACATGTGTTTTTTTTCCTTGCTGTCTGATGTAATCTTCCCAGGTGCCATGTGGTGAGTTTCATCCTAGATGGGTCCCATTGTCTTGCAGATGAGGTCCATTGACAAAGATTGAGTTTCTGCCTCTGGCCCATTAACAAAAGGGTGGGGGCAGGAAAGTGAGAGCTGCTTTGTCTTTAAAAACATGCTTCTCCATTTCTCACACAGGGAAACATAACATTCTGCCTTTTTAATATTTCCCAGAATATTTCATTCTCCTAGGAAAGGGGTGTGTGCTAACCTCCTACATCTATATCTCCTTTCGGATGGTAGGAGGGTAAAGAAGTGGTGACCAGGGTGTGAGTCATCCCTGAGGATTTTCCTCACTCTTCTAAGGCAGCGAGCCCTAGAGATTTCATTTAGTGGTATCAGGGGACAGCCCAAGATTTTCTGTGCTGTGCTCACCACCTTCTGTAATGTTTTTCTATCTGTGGCTGTCAAACCGGCATGCCATACCGTAATGCAACAAGTGAGGACGCTTTCTATTGTGGACCGGTAAAAGGAGGTCATCAGTTGTCTCCGTTTATATACCGATTGAATCAGGGGTGGATTCTACTTACCTTTACTACCGGTTTGCTCTCTCTCTCGTGTGCACTTCTGTGCATGTGCAGAAGCTTCTGATCTGTCCCCGTCCACACACACACACAAACACAGCCAGCCGAGGGTTAAGGAAACACTTTGGCACACACCCAGTTCTTTATCTCCAACTTGGTAGCGATTTACACACCGTCTGCCAAGTACGTTTATTTCCACAAAACAGAAAGATAAGATACTTAGTGTACAAAAGTCCAATCAGAATAATATTTCTCTCAGCAGTTTCCGGACGAGGTTTTAGTGACTATCCAAGGTTTACTTTTGTTCGTCACAAGGATCACTGGCCACCACCCTCTATTATATAGTCTCTGGGTGTGGTCCAGTGACTCAGTTCTAATCCCTAGCACGCCTCCTGAGCTGCTGCAATTGTTTATCATGCCTTCGGAGGCGTGCGTCCAGGAATGATGTTTCTCCCTCACTCTCATCCGAGCCACCTGTCTCCCTGTTAATCTCCTCTCCCTCGGCCGGCACCTGAGACAGTGCCAGAGGGGAGGGGCCTGGAGAGGGAGGCCTGGCTGACTCCTCTTCCTCATGCTCGGAGCTTTCTTCCTCCGATGGGACAGGCTCAGAGGGCGGGGCCACAACAGCTTCTGCTCATGCGCAGATCACCCATAATGATGACGTGGCGAGTGGGTGGATCTTCCCACCAGTTTTACTACCAGTTCTATAAAATCGGACCGAACCAGGAGCAACCCACCACTGGATTGAATTCCATAGGACTCCCGGCACAAAATTGTATTACATCTGTCCAGTTATAAGCAGAAATATGTCCATTACATTTATCAAGCAGAAATGCGGTCAGTGAGTTTAGGATTGCAGTTGATGCCTCTGAAGTAGTAAAGCCCTTTAAATTGTTTTAACCGTATAAATATTTTCCATATTAACAAAGTTAAAGAAAAAAAAGTTGAGTTTAAATAAATAAATTTAAAAAAACAACCCACTTCAAAGATGCATATCAAGCTGTTCCTTCTTCTGCTTTTAGTTCTCTGACTAAAGCAAATTTTCTAACCTTTTACTATCAAGAAATGCCATCCAGCTCAAAGGGAATTCTTTATATGGAGTCTTTTTTGTCCACCCCATCATTGCATTTCTCAAGCGTTTCAATTTAACGTTACCTAAATAGTATTACCCAGAGCAGATTCTTAAAATTTGTGATAACAGAGAAAGGTCAATTCTATTTGAAATCTGGGGAGATCACAACCTTGCAAAGTTTGAAAACTCAAGTTTTATTGGAATTGGTTTCACTCACGGTATATTTTCTCTTCATTGTTGACATCATACGGTGTATTTTTTTTTTAAAAAAGAAGAATGTTAGGATCACCTAATTATTAACGACTTTTATATTTTCTATTTTGAAGGGTTCATGTGATGACATTATTGTTAGAACCAGTCGTTCCTAATTAAAATGGTACCTCTGAGCATAGAATTAGACACAAATGGATCCTTCAGTTTGTTGTTCAGGAGCGGCTTGACAAGAGGAATACAACATTTGAAGCCCATGTCCAGGATCCGTCTGTGTGTGGTGGCTCTTGATGCACTGACTCCAGCCTCAGTCCACTCCTTGTGAAAGTCCCCAACACTTTTGAATGGCCTTTTCCTCACAATCCTCTCCAGGCTGCGGTCATCCCTGCTGCTTGTGAACCTTTTTCTTCCACACTTTTCCCTTCCACATAACTTTCTATTAATGTGCTTTGATACAGCACTTTGGGAACATCCAACTTCTTTTGCAATTACCTTTTGAGGCTTTCCCTCCTTATGGAGGGTGTCAATGATGGTTCTCTGCACAACTGTCAGGTCAGCAGTCTTTCACATGATTGTGATTCCTGCTGAACCAGACTGAGAGACCATTTAAAGGCTCAGGAACCCTTTGCAGGTGTTATGGCTTAAGTAGCTGATTAGAGTGGGACACTTTGAGCCTAGAATATTGAACCTGTTCACAATATTCTAATTTTCTGAGATTGTGAATTTGGGGTTTTCATGAGCTGTAAGCCATAATCATCAAAAGTATGACAAATCAAGGCTTGAACTATCTCGCTTTGCATGTAATGAGTCTATCTCATATATTAGTTTCACCTTTTAAGTTGCATTACTGAAATAAATGAACTTTTGCACGATATTCTAATTTTTCGAGTTTCACCTGTATTTCGATGCTGATTACCTTGTTATTCACACAAGTCTCAAGCTGCTTTCAGGCTTTTCCTCCCCCCTCCCAGTGACTAAAGATGCTCCCAATCACACACAAGAAAATGGCAGGCGCTGTGGCGCAAATCCATGATAGGTTGCGAGAGACAAAGGCAGGTCAAGAGGGGGCCGGGAAGAATAGCCCACCTCCCACACGTAAATCAGAGCCTTTGAAAAATCTGTATAGATTCTCTGGGTGGCTGAAAAAGTTCAACCACGCAGGGCTGAGATCAGCCTGTGTTTCTCTGACTGACATTTCAAGTTCTTGAAAAGGAAGAATGAGATTATTTTAAAATAGGTGAGGGGGGGAAAAATGACCTCTGGCGACGTTCTTTCAGAGTGCTGTGCTGAGCACATTCAGTACAGGATACGATAGCTTTTTTTAAAAAAAAAACCAAGAATAATGTCATATCTCCTCTGAAGGGTTTCTCTTTAGAGGAACTTCTAGAGATCCCTTTGGTGGATGCAGGGCAGTGGTGGGATTCAAATAATTTAACAACCGGTTCTCTGCCCTGATGACTGACTGGGCTGGTGTGGCCATGGTGGGCATGGCCAAGGGGTGTGACAGGTAGCACTCAACCTCCTGCACCCCCCGGGAGCAAAAATCGGCCGCGGGGGGTACATAACCCCCCCTGCACCCTGTTTTGGGCCTAGTAGGCCTCCCTGAAGCCTCCTGGGACCGAAAACAGGCCGTGAGGGGCACACCATCCCCCTGTGACCCATTTTGGACCCAGGAGGCCTCCCTGCACTTACCTGGGAGCCAAAATGGGGCACGTGGGGACTCCTGGAAGGGATGGGAAGGGGAAGGGAGGGGCCAGCCAGAAATTTAACTACCGGTTCGCCCAAACTGGCCCGAACCAGCTGAATTCCACCATTGATGCAGAGGTTTTGCAAAGGGAAGGTGGTG